TAAAATGGGCATATTTTATCTCCCAAACTGATAAATTATATTCATATATATTATATTTTAAAATAAATTTCTGATACCTACTATGTGCTTCCTGATCAAATATATTATCCATATTGCTATTATATTTTCAAATGAAGATCATAATTTCGAAATACATTTTTGAACAAAAAGTCAAAAATTAACCTCAGAATTTGAGAAATCGGATAATATGATATAATCACATTTTAGACATTCTGATCAGACACTTAAATTACAGTTTAGTTCAATATTATCGTATAAAAAACAATTTCAAAATCATGGATTTATATGTAGGATTAACTTGCCTTACGCATCCAAGATTTAAATCAATTACAGATTCAAGATGTACATTTTTCAAATATAAAGCTGTTACTTTTAAATTAGAGTGTTTCACAAATTATTAAATGACCTTTTAATCAATACCAGATTTATGCATTTCACTTAATTTTGAATGTCTAAGATCATGATAGTTAATTTTTAATAAAAATTATTAATAATCTTAATGGTATTAGTGATTTCTTGTATTAAGTAGTTCTGAACAAGCTTTTCTCAATTATTTTTGAAATGATTTTGATTATATTGGTAAATTTTCATAACCAATATCAAGAGTACTTGCTTCATTAATATTATTTCTATTAATGAAAATCTAAGTTTATTGTTAGACGGAATCACAAATGATAAAATTTTGCATAGCATTGACTCCACTTTTTTCCTATTTTTTAGGTATATAATTTATTTTCCCTTCAAGCAGCTAATCATACCTAATTTAAGAAAGATCTGATATTCTAGCAGCTAGTTCATAAAGAATATAAATTCGATAAGCTAGTATTTCATTTTTCTATGAACACAAATCATCTATAAACTACATTAAATTACACTATACTTTTTATATATGAATAAGATCCCATGATTAATGAGGATTTTTTATTTTTTTTGCATTCGCTCTACTTCTTAGTGCTTTAATCTTTTAATTAACAGAATTAGTTTCAGGAAGTTTAAGGATTTTTCTTAAATATTGTAAAGAATTTATTTCTTATAAAGTTGGCTTCCCCTTTTATAAATAATTCAATAGTAGTGGATTAGATATGGTATTTAAATCCATTATGTTTTGCTCCTATAAAAACTTCATTATAGTTGATGAATATTATCCTTTACTACCTTTAGCTAAATCATTCTAAATCAATATTTAGTCATGCAATTAAATTATCTAATTATAAAAATTATTATTTACCTATTGAGTATTAGTAATATGATCACATTAGACTTATTAATTAATATTAATAAATACTTAATCTTCTTTTTTTTCAGGTTGATTTATCTGTCACTCTCTACATTGAAAATAATGATTCAGCATCTAAGTAAGATCACAATTGCTCAATTGTAAATCACAATTTTTACAACGTAGACTTATATGAAAAGAGTTGATGACCGTCCTTTTAAAAAGAATTCTCTTAATTTCCTTTCGCATTGCTAAAAGAAACATCAGGATGGTTTAATTACATCAGGATAATCAAAGTAGAGAAAATAATTTCAATAAAAAAAAAAAGAATTAGAAAATATCATTGGATATACGAAATTTCTTTGAGCATAGGTTTAAAGATACTGCAACACCATTCATCAATCATTTTCATTATTAATTGGATTTGATATATAAATTAAGTTGTTAGACTAGGTTAAGAAATTACTAATTTTCTTTTGATCCAACCAAACATATGTTCTATAGCATTGAATTCAGGTCGATATGTAGGGGTGAAAATACAAGTAACCTTATTATATATTGAGGTTATTTAAGAGGATTTATGTATGCTACAATTATCCATAACTAAAACAAAGTTCTGTGATTAATAGCACTCCTATGCTTTCTGAATGATGGAATTAACAAAATCCTAAAATATATAAGCCTTTCCAGTTCCTACAAATATTTGAAAAAAAAAAAACCATCTTATCCCAAAGCTCCAATAAAATATTTAAAGGATGAAATTCTATGAGTCATTTTTTTAAATGAACCTTAAATATGCCATTGCTTATGACTAAATTTTGAAATATTGCCAAGTGAGCATTCATCAATAAAAATTACTTTATGATTTTAAATAAGGTATCCACACAATTTTGAAATCAAAAATAAGTTTCTTCATTTTTTCCATCCTTCTCAAAAAATGATAATGGTTGTAATGAGGGAGTTCGATATCTAATTAAACATTAATGCAATAGCTTTCGGAACTAATTTATGCTCAATTGTTAGTTTGGGAATTAATTTAAAAATGCCTTTCTGAAAGAAGTTCATTAAATAACATAGAATTTAATGCTATGTTATATAATGCTACTGGAGCCAGTTTATTTCCATTTCATTTATTTATATTTCTTCTCGAGTTTTCGTCATATGAATTATCATATTATTTTTCTGCGCTTATTAAGAGGTCACACCTAAAAATCCAGCAATCACAGAATTCTTATAACCAATTTATAGAAGCTCTTAGATTTAAATTCTTTGGTTTATATTTAAATTTGAGCGTCTTTTGTGTATTTTTTTTTTAATTGCTGTTTTTTTGACTCTTGAGATTGAATTTTATTGTCTCAAACTTAAAATATTTTCAATATATTGTTTGAATATTTTCAAAGGTAAAGGTTGAATTTTCTGTTTCTAATCTTGTAATTTTTATTTATCTATTTTTCAAAACTTAAACAATGACTATCACATGTAAGATGTTTGGATAATAATGGTTGACATTTGTATTCAATTACTCTATTTCCATATTTTACCCTTGATATTATATTAAAACTACATCCTAATGCTTTTTGTTTTTTTTAGAAGACTTTCTTGGGGAGTAATCAGAGTCAGAATCATCGTCCATATTGGATTTATGTAATTGAGAAGAAAAAAATAATTGATTTTAATTAAATCCAATGTGAATCCTAAAATTCATCGACATCTTCGCCAAGATGAAAATCTTCCTAGCCTGATTTTATTGGCATATTTTAAATAAATCATTTATAAACTTTTTATAAATGATAATTATAATGAACTAAATTTAAGAAGAAGAATTCATAGCATTAACAAGATAACAAGCAAATCAATTAATTCCTTCTTTAAAATCTGCTTACTATGGGTTGGTGTTATAGGGAAAATATTTACCAAAATAAAACTCATCAATAATAACATCTGAATATCTATTAGGAGTACTTTTTGAAACTTATTATGTTTCATAAATTGATGAGATCAATATTGGAGTACTTCTAAAACCAATCAAGAAGGTCGAACTAATTGAGGAGTTGATAAAGATTTAGATGAACGGACAAAAATGGGGTATAGATGTAAAACACACTCCAAATAAGGAATGGATTGTTAATGTCTTAAAAACATTAAAACCAGACCATTATATTTTTAAAAATGAAACAGAAATTACCAAATTTGATATGAGGAAATTTACGACTTAATAAGTAGCGTAAGCTATAATTATCTTTATATCTTTTTAGAAAAATTAAAGAACTGGATTATTCAATAGGGAAGAAATCAAATGTGAGGAGGTTCTTTAGGATACCTAAAGAGAAATAAATGGAGCTCTAGAAACATAAATTGGTGTTAAAAAAGTCGAATTTACTTTCAAAAATGAAAAAAAAAAAATCTTAAATAGATGAATACAACAAAGATTTAGTTTCAATCTAAGAAAAAGTCTTAAATATCCAAAATATTTTAATTTTAGTGAGGAAAAATTAATATTAAACATAATTATTGATAATTATCTGATTTTTAACAAATCCCTTTAGATTGAAGGAGCGATAATGCTAAAAGTGCTTTCTTCATTTATTGATATTTAAGGTTTTTATAATTTCAAAAGAATCTGTGTTTGGTTTATTGAAAACGATCTCTGTATTTGTTTAAAATTGATTATTACTTATTCTAAGTAAATAAAATATATACTCATCGTTAGAGTCCCCTTAACACACATGATCATCTTCGATTGTTAGAACAGGAGCATTTTCGCTTTCCAGCTGGGTGATATTTTGAGTTCTTATTAGTTCTAGATGAGATTTACTCTTCTTTAAAGATTAAATTTGTTAAGGAATTTGATTTATAGTTTTTTTTATAATCAAGTAGTTTCTTATCACTTATTTAAATAATAGGTATAGATTAATATATTTTAAATTACTAAGATTACTATTTAATTATTTACCTACTTTCTTAATTTTGATTGTTTTTAAGTAACAGCTGAACTCTTTTCTTATACTTCTTTATATCAGATAATTTGATTTTTTTTAAGAAAGTACTTAACTCTACATCACCCTATTATTAAAAAACCAAAAAATATGTATTTTTTTGCTTATATAGCCATGTTTGTAGATCCCAATTAGATTTGATTTCCAAAACTTATTACTATTCTTAAAGATTATGTTTTTTCATAATGGATAAAAATAATAATTTAATTTGTTCTGGTATTTGTATTTTTTTGGAGATGATTTAATCTAATCTTTTAGAATTAAGGTTAAACATTCCTTAAGATAATGCATCAAATTTTAGATCGGGAATGTCATAGATATCAAGTTCAAATTCAAATAATAAGTAAAACAATAAAGCATAACGCTCTTAATCATTAATTATCATTATAGAAATTAGCTTTTCATAATGAATAATAAGATTCTGCAATGATACTTATTCATTCTTATATCTCTACTAAATATGATTTTTAAATTATTTTTTTGTGTTTAAGCTCAATTATTTCCCTAATTTTTTAAAAATTATTACATTGATGTATGCAAGAGGTTTATTGCCTGAATACTTTTTTATTAAAATTTTTCCTATTACAAAAACAAAAGCAAATCACCTTCTTCATAACAGTCCTTTTCACTCATAAATAAACTTTTATAGAATCTCTTTAACACATTACAATAATTGGATTACGAATGCTTTTCTTTGTTCTGCAGATTAGACAATTTTAGTATACAGATGCCAAAATATTTATTTAGTAATTGTGATTTATTATATTACAAATCAATTTCCTTATTCTAAAATTGATGAAGCTAAATAATAATCAAAGACTATTGTTTTTTCAACATTTTCAAATTTCTCAATTCCAGGTTTGGGTTTGGGTTTGGGTTTGGGTTTGGGTTTGGG